TATCTCTCTCTCTCTCTCTCTCTCTCTCTCTCTCTCTCTCTCTCGTTTTTGCTTCTTCTGTAAAAATGAGACATGCTTTTGTCTTTCTTCCCCTTTTCTATGAGCTGCTGTTGTCTAACTAAAATTGGATTTATATGTTGCTACCTGGTTCTTGGTTTCAGAAAATTTTCCTTATATTTTTCTAAACTACCTTTCATCTTTTGGGCTTGACCTGCTTGGTTCAGGTTATTAGAGGGTCTTGTACAATTTATTTCAGTTTTTTCGGATGCCTTTTCATCGACCTTTTTCCAGTTTCTTTATTTGCGATTCTTTCAGGCAAGGGTTTCATCTATGGACATCGGGTTTAGCACATTCTTCTCTATGTAGTGGTTTTCTCCATGGATTTTTAGAAGCCACTGTTATTTCTTGCATTTTCTGTTTTCCAATTTGGATTTCAAGTGTTTATTCTTCTCTTATACAGAAAGCGTTCATTTTTAGAATTATTTCCCTTCCATGTTAATTTGACTGATTGTTTGTTTAGCTCAGATGTGGGTTTCCTCTGATTGTATCGGCCAATTGATTTTCTCTCTCTTCTCCTGTATCAGTGAACTATGTGGTCTTTGTGAATTGTGGAGGTGCCCTTTTACCCATAAATGATAATGGGCTCAATATATCAGAGGATACTTATTTCCAAGGAGGGGATATTATTAGAACAGAGGAGAGTATAACGAATGCCGGACATTATCCATGTATATATCAGTCTGCTCGCTATGGTAACTTCTCCTACAAATTCACTAACCTTGAGCCCGGAGACTATTTCCTGGACCTCCACTTTGCAGAGATCATAAACACGTATGGGCCGAGTGGAATGAGGGTCTTTGATGTCTTCATTCAAGAAAAGAAGGCAGGATTACTGTTCCTTTCACCAATTCTCCCCTCTCTCTAACTATTTATCTAACTATTTGTAGGAAAAACTGCTTTTTTCCCTTTCAATCCAGTTTTTGTTTGTCTTTTTGCTTAATGAATGTCATGGGAGTAGAATGTTAAATGGGTGTTGTTTTTGAAATTCACAGGTATTGTGCCGGCTTGATATATATTCCCGAGTGGGTGCGAACACGGCTCTTCAGCTGGTTGATGTTAGAGGTACTGTTCTACAGAATAGAGATTTGGTTATAAGGTTTGAAGGGATTAATGGAAGTCCTGTTGTTTCTGGAATTTGCATCAGAACGGCTCCACAATTAATGGGTATGCATCAAATTGGATGATGTACATTCTATTCTTCAACTCTCTCTATCTATATATATATATATATCTGATAATTTTGATTGTCACTCATGGAGCTTATCAATTTGATTGAAATCTTCAGAGCCTTTGAGAGAGTCTGAATATCCTGTATGCAATATCTGTGCTGCCAAGATCGAAGGTGGTTCAACTAAGGTGCGGAAGAGATAAATGGCTATTTTCTGTTCTGTGGAAAGAAAAACTTATTGTGTTATTAAAAAGAAAACCTTTTTTGTTTTTGTTGTAATTAACTCTGTTTGGTGTGGAATTTGCAGATTAATGAAAATGGATTTAAATCTATAGTGAAATATGAGAAAAGGATAGAGGAATTGATGAATGAATGCCGACTCAAAACAGATGAATGCTACGAAGCTTGGTTAGCTCTAACAGCTGCAAATGACAAGCTTGAGATGCTTAGGATCAATCTAAACAATAATTCGTCTCGAGCAGAATCACTAGGTCTCTCTCTCTCTCTCTCACACACACACACACACACACACAGAGGCACTTGAATAACACTCACACACAACTTTGTAAGCCTATTGTCTCAATGGAAGTTGAAAATAACTGGTTTTGTCTGGACATTCTATGTAAATTAGGTGAAACTGTAGACAAGCAATCAAGTGAGTTGAAGTCAGTCTTGGAGAAATACGAGCATGACAGGAAGTATTGGATTGTTGCAGTCAATTATTTGAAAGAAAAAATGCTGGTGATTTTTGTCTTTTACCATTTTTCTTATCAAATGACTGTAGAATCCCAATTTTTTGATGGATCAATTTGGATGTTGGAGAAACAATGTGTGTGTGTGTGTGTGTGAGAGAGAGAGAGAAGGGGAGGGGGGGGGGGGGGGAGGATGTCTATCCATATCTACATTTCTTATTTGTTCTCTTTCTATAAACATCATAGTATTTTTGTACTTGATTTGTACTTCAAACTCAAGTTTCCTTATTTCTTATGATACAATTGGTTATACTTCTTATGTTTGGATGTTAACTGATTATTGATCCCAGGTCATGAAAAGGGAACATGCCCATCTTTCTCAAGAAGCCCACTTATGTGCCAGTTCAATTCCTGAGTTAAATAAAATGATGTCTTCAGTTCAAACTTTGGGTAAAATAGCTGCCTTTCTAACATTCCAAAAAACGAATAATAATTATCCTTCGGCAATTGAGAGAAACAGAAAAATTGAAACAGAAAAATTGGAAAATCAGAGTATGAAGAATTTATATGTACCATTTCAATAGAATTGAGATTAAAAAAAAAAGAAAAGAAAACTAACATGTGAAGGATTGCTTGCCAGTTTCTCAGTGTGAAGACCTGAAGATGAAGTACAACAAAGAGCAAGCTGAGAGAAAGGAGCTCTATAACAAAGTCCTAGAAATGAAAGGCATGTTCTTGATTCTATTGTGGTTTAGGCATTAGAGAAGATAAAATCATGGCTGACTTTTCTGTGTTGTTTTCAATAATTTCAGGGAATATCAGGGTGTTTTGCAGGTGCAGGCCCATGAGCAAAGAAGAGCTTTCCTCTGGTTCAGCAATGGTGGTAGACTTTGATTCAGCAAAGGACGGAGAACTTGGCATACATGTAGGAGGATCTTCAAAGAGAATTTTTAAATTTGACAGAGTTTATACCCCAAAAGATGATCAAGGTGAGTTCTTCCCAATAAACTTAACTTTATTTTAAACTTATTTACGAATTCATTATTTGAACCTTGTAGGCTATAGGGAGAAAATATACATATCTAATAGTGGAAAATTATATGGTTCTGTGGAACAGTTTCAAATTTCACATATTTTGTACTCCAAAATGCACTACCATGCTTGCATCCTTAGTTTCACTTAGAGATTTATCTTAGTAACTTACTATTTGAAATTTGGAAAGCTAAATAGAGAACATACTAGCCTGATTATAGAAAAGGGCAATATTTCAAAATATACATAAGAGATCAATTATTTAACATCTTACCCGTATCGTCTGGTTTTCAAAATACCCATAAAATACACATGACCATGAGTTGGAATTGTTGAAAAGGTGTAGATTTTAAATTGTTAAAAGGGTTAGCTGTATTTTGAAAATTTTACAGTAGAAAATGATGGAGACCACATGTTTGCAAGCTAAAGGAGAAAATATTTATGGTGAACAGTCCACGTGTTTGGGGATGCTTCATCATTCGTGGTCTCAGTTTTGGATGGATACAATGTCTGTATATTTGCATACGGGCAGACTGGGACAGGGAAGACTTTCACTATGGAAGGCACTGAGCATAACAGAGGGGTCAATTACAGGACACTAGAAGAGCTCTTTCGTATCGCTAGAGAGAGAAAAGATATGTTCCACTATGATATATCTGTGAGCGTTCTGGAAGTTTATAATGAGCAGATTCGAGATTTACTAGCCACAGTTCCTGCCTCCAAGAAGTATGATCTCAATTCCTCTCTCTCTCTCTCNNNNCTTCTCTCTCTCTCTCTCTCTCTCTTACTACTTACTTACTTAACTTACGTTACTTACTTACGTTACGTTACTACGTTACGTTACGTACGT